AGCCGATGATGATGCTGATGGGGCAACAGAGGAAGATGGATTTGCAGCAGCCGATGACGATGCTAATGGAGCAGTGGAGGAAGAAGGAATTGGAGCCACAGATGAAGAAGCGRCGGATGAGGCTGTCGACGGAGCTTCGGTTGTAACTAAAGACGAGTCTGTTGTACAAAAGAGTSAAAACCAAAAAATTGATAAATTGATAAAACGACATAAACGTAATAAACATCATTAACTAAGCACGTTAATGACAACCATTGCCGAGCCTTTTCTTGGCAAAAACTGATCAACTAAATTAATTACAGTGTAATTGTCACCTTTTCTTTATAAAAGTATGACTTTCATTAACATATATATAGTATATAAACTAATGCCAAAGCTTATCGTCTGATTCTTTGGCGAAGTTCGCGGCTGTACCTTCTCATTAATCGGAAATTTATTTAGAGTTAGGTCATCGCAAGATTTAGCATGAGTTCAACCAGACTTGAAAATAGTGTTGATGCATATACTTGTCTTCGTAATTAAAAGGTGAATAAATCAATGATGAACATATTTTAATGATTAAGCACACTTACTAGAAGCCTGGGCTGTCAAACTGAAGCACATCAAGACCACGAAGGCATTAATTCCTACCACTTTTGCATTCATTTTGTATTGTTTTTCAGAATGTTGACCAGTTCTTTCTTTTTTATCAAAGACCAAGAAGAACAAGAAGCTGTCTCCACTTTCTAACTTCACAAACTTGGTGTGACTTTGCTGATTAAGTTTACGCTTTTTATACCTTGGTTGTTTACTTCCTATATAATCTAGAACTGARTAAAACTATGAATAACAGCTAATTTGGGCTGTTGTTTGTACTTAGTTTACGTCAATTGCTCTGGAACCGTAGTGTATTTCTATCGCCCACTCTGAAGGGTGATGTAGGGTAGTGGTTGACGATTGCTCACATGTACCATCAACCGAGTAAGCTAGTATGTTCCGAGACGTCATCTTATAGTCAGGCAGCGTATCCAACGTCATTTCAGAAGAAATTAAATCATAATCATAATCATGATCATAACAAGACAGTYCTAGGGCATCACGACTGGGTTTCGATCCTTATACACTGACGTCAAACCTTATAAAACTATTATGTATATGCATAAATATTCACAGATACGCTCGTACATGTGGTATATAAGTTAAATAAATGTCTTAAGTTTGTGAGTGACCGTAAGTAGGGTTAAAAAAATAKTAATAATAACTAGTTCGTCGAGCTTTGTTGGCCAGTGTACGAAGTACATATGACATAGAGAACTTGAACTTAAACCTATAATCAAACTTTAGTATGATTTACATTGAATACCGAAAAAGGAAAGGTTTACTAAACTAAACTAACTTTTCGGAAGTTCAGGCGTCGGATAAAGAACCTGTTTCTGGCATTGAAAATAAAATTCTGGAAAGTTTGAATTTGATGAAGCTATAGCATAGTACAAATTCTCGAACTTTCCTTACAGCTAGGTAACGTAAATGTCGGTACATGCATGACTTCTTATTCATCATTCTTCACATTTCTTTAAAGTACCGTAAAAATTATATTACTGAAGTAGAGGRAAACCGAATAATTCTAGTAATGATAAATGTAATAAGAAAACGATTTCCTCTTACTGTTGATARCGAATGTCGCTAGCTCAACATATTTTTACACTATATTAGTTTGTTTATTTTGCTTCAGGCATGAGTTGCTAAACAAGTGCATGCTGTAAGCCGGCGTGACTCAATTGAATTCGTAAAAAAAAATTCTGTAATAGTGATGTTTAAAAGTTGAACAAAAAGATAAGATATGATCCTGTAAGTTTGGTAATGGATGSCTTTGAGTTATTTTTATCTACTTTAATTGAATTTACGTCGAGTTGAACCTTTATATTGCTCATGGTATAAATTTATATGGTAGAGTGCATGCCATATATTCGTGTGAAAAAGTTAATTAAGTTATAAAAAGTTATAAATTAGTGCAAAATTTTGTAAGTCTATGGTCTATTGAGGTCTACTGAACTTACTCATTTGTGTACATTTGTGCTATTTCTTACAGAGTTTAACACGGATATATGACATATATAAATCAGTTCAATCAAGATCATTGTCTAGTTGTACAGCAAGTGTGTATAGAGAGAAGGCACTTAACCCGTGAAATAAAAAATAATAGTCA